ACTGCAATTTTTAAACACCAGTAACTCTTCATAAGCACAAAGTTATAGGTCCCATGCTGCTAATTTGTGGGTCTTAAGTTATAAATTAAGAACTGTAAGAACTAGAAGCAGTTTAGGTCTTGAGTGTGGGGGTGATAGGAAGAAGGCAGGGAGTTCAATGCCTCTCTAGCTTTGAATTTGCAACCTATTATATGCTTTACTGTCTCTTTGACAGTCTGAGAAATAATAGCTGAGTTTTGTGCAGGTCTTGGAAGCCTGAGGTTTTATGAAAGATGGCATTTTGGCAGGGTCTCTAGAAGCAGAGGTGAGATCTAGATTCTTGGGCAAGGGGCCTGTGGATGGAGTGCTCCCTGGAGAAGGGGAATGAGTAGATAGGGCAGGTGAAAGAGCTCAGCAAGGTGGTGGAGCTCTGGAGCTCCAACTGAACCACACACTGCTCCCTCCTGGAGGCAAAGAGGCCACCTTGAGGCCCAAGCCAACACTCCAGACCAGAGGGCAGCTGAGGTGTTTTGCACTAGCTGGTAAAAGGGCATCTAATCCACCATAGCAGCAACTCCTGTGAGTTGTGTCTATTTTTAATCATTGCCACCTCTTTTACAGTGATCCTAAGGCAGAGGAAAGACCCCCCTGTTTGTCATAAGGTGAGATAGGGGCTGACAGAGTGGGGACGAGGACAACAAAAAGAGGAGATGATTATGAGTTGTAAAGCCTGCATTTAAATGGGGGAGTGGCAAAATGTGGGTGTGAATGAACTGTTTACATGAAGCGGGGGAAGCAGAAGAGAAGAGGTAATGTAGAAGCAACTTATTGCTGCATTTAAAGATAGTAGCAGGCAAGAGTGTGGGCGGGCATAAACCAGGCAGAGAGGGGTGATGAGCCCTGCTGGTTGATCACCAGGGCTTCAATTCTACCTGCACAAACAACAGCTGAATAAGGTTGCTCATTCACATGCACCTGCCTATGAAACCCTGCCATCTGCACTTTGAGAGCACAGTGTTCTCTTAGCCTTCATGAAGCTTTAAAATGACTTCCCCATCTACTACTTTCTGCATGAAGTGAAAAAGGCACATGAAAAGGATTTAGGCTTGGTAATATATAATGCTCTTCTACTTTTTTCTAATCTGTTTAAAGGATTAGTAAGAAAAGTAAATCTCCTCAGGCATAAATGCTTAAATTCTTTAGGATTCCTTGATGCACTTTTTAATTAATGAGAAAATTCAGTTGCAACATCTGCGTGCGTATATGTGTCTGTGTGTGTAGTCATTGCACAACTGAAGTCACAGTAGTAAGAAATTATATAGTATTTTACCTGTAACATATGAAACCCAGAGTAAAAGCAATATTCCCAAAGGAAACCCAGCTTGCTTCATTGAATAAGGCAATCCTGAAAAAAACATAAAATACCCCACCCCTCATATTAGCAAGACAGCTAGAAATACAGAAATCCCCCCCCAATTTCTGCATATAACAGGTAGAAATCAATGTATATTCTTATATGACATATTTGTAAATTGCACGTAGGACAGTATTAATATGAAATGTTAGGTATTAATACTTATTTTGGAATAAATTGTTATTAGCTTAGGGACGAGTCAGGAGAGCAAGTTTATGAGGTGATGGAATAAGACTTAGAAAGCAGCAAATGAAAAACAAAAGCCAGTTCACACAAATAACGTTGACTTTAGAATAAGAGTGACATAGCCCTGGAATATGTGGAAAGTCATTACCTCAAATCTTTCCTTACCTGCTAGCCAAGAAAGCAGACAGACAGGATAATAAAGAGCATAGAAGGGTTACGAAATATTAAGAAAGACAGACTCTGGAGTCAAAATTGGGCTATTATGTAGGAAAAAAATGAGAGGAAAATGAGAAGGAAAATATATTTTTTATAATGCTGAAAGGGATTATTTCTTATAATTTTGGGGGAAATGGACAATTTTAGATTATGGACTATAAAATATTGAAAACAAACACAGTTGAAATATTTCCACTCAAAATTTTATTCTCTGAAAAGTTTTCCCTTAAAGAAAATAGAACAAGCTGCTGAGCAGAATTCAGGGGTATTGTTTAGCATTGCTGACATGGCTCAGTTTAACATGTTCACATCAGGAATTAGCTCTAGAATGCTGAGTACAGCTGCCCATACCTTCATGGAACATGGAGGTAGAATCGTAAACAAGTCTTTGCCCCTGCTTCCTTCTACTTTACCTCAGGTAACTCTATTTTATGTATGATTTGGGGGGGGGGGGGATAAAAAGACTATCCAAAGAAAAATGTAAAATCAAGAACGATATTAACTTGTGAAAAGTAGGAAAAGTAACTCAATCCAGATAAATGTTTGATTTTCAGAAGATGATAACTGAGAGGAAAATGTTGAAACTTTATAAAACACTGAATTCTCAAAAAGTATTGTATTTTGCAGGATTTTGTTTTGTTTTTTTCTTGTCTTTTCTGAGATAGAGTGTTTTCAGATACCAAAAAGAATAATAACCACTGAAAACATGGCTGCCTTTATTACTACAATGCAATGCACTCGACTCATTTTTTTTTCAGAAAATTTCCCTTGCTTCTAATACAATGGGAAAATATGAGCTATTTATTTCTTTTAATTCTGATTGTATGTCTCCTTTGGTAGGAAAATCATATTCATTTTCAATTAACAAATTTGCATTGTTGATGGAATGATATTTAAAATTAGTATATCATAATAATTTTGTACTTTAAAATTTAACATTGTATAGCTAGGTAAAGAATGTCTGAATTTAATTTTTCATAAGATTGGTATGTTTTCCTATTAAACTTTTGCACCTCCAATATTTACAAATATCTGGAAGTTTTATACTTCTAAAAGGTTAAAGAAAGATGATTCAAATGATGGACATTTCAGTAAGAGAAAAAAGTAATTAGGTAACACTAGCAATCAACCACGCAGCCTACAGCAAAAAGATTCACCACCACCCATATGCAGTTTCATCTTCATCCACCACATGTGGAAGATACTCTCAACCGTGGAAAGAGTGTGAATTGCAGCCCCATCTTCAGCATAAAAGACACTCATACATACTGTTACATTAAAAAAAAGGCTTTTATGAAAGAAAATTACCAATTTTCTTATTTATTTTTTTCTTTAAAAATAATTAATGAAACTAGCAGCATAGCGAGTCTCAAATTTTGCTCTTTCATTTTAAATTTAAAACAAAACAAAATACACTTACCTATTATACCAGATCCTATAATTGAGTTGACGACATTAAAAAGAGCAGCAGACTGACAGGTTTTCTCTTTATACTCATGTTCATGTTCAAAAACAAGGGTTTCTCTGTCATCTAGATCTCTCTATTTTAATAGATAAAATAGCAATTATAAACAAATATTAGCTCAAAAAATTAGAAAGTAACAAATATGTAATGCAGGATACTAGCATGATATTTCTAGTCATAATAAGTAATGTCACTAATGAAAATAAAACAATGCCAGGATAACAGTAATAAAAAATAACAATAATAGCTGGTAATTCAACAGAGCTTGGTAAGCAAACTCCATCCTAAAATTTCCAGATTACAGCTGCCCCAGCTGCTAAGTACAGTAGCGGTTAGGAATTCAGTGATGTGATTCTGTGAAATTAAAGTGCCTGCTAAGGGGGGGAAAAAAAACCCCACAACCAACTCAGATTAAAGCAAAACTGTTTCTCCTAGAGAACTTTATACGGTGCTAAACTAAGACCCTAGGTGAAGGTAGCTGACTTGACCTGTTGCAAGATGAATAAAATTTCCAGAAAACTGGCTCCAGAACCTGCACAGTCTCTAGTTTTACCTGCGGCGGGATGACAGGCTCCTGCTCCTGGTAGCGCATGGCTGCGCGGTGGTCCTGAGCAGGTGGGAGATGCTGAGGCTGGGCTCCCGCTCGCACCCGGCCAGCCTCCTCCGCCACCTCGCACAGAGCCGAGGTCTGCGCGCGGCCGCAGAGCTGCAGCAAGCTGGTTCTACAGGCGCCTCCGGGCCCCCTCTGCAGGCAGCTAGGGCTGCAGCCCCAAATTCTCTAGGCTGTCGCAGCCTGGGGCGCTTTTCCACCGGAGTTCGCCCAAACGTATTTTTTCTCCGGATGAGGAGATGCTGCAGGATGTCTCCGATCCCGGCAGCTCTGTCTCCCCGCCTCCCCGCACCATACCCCCGCCTCCCTCAGAGAACAGGGAGAGCTACTCTTTCCCGGAGCTGCAGAGGACTTGTTCCACCCACGCTGCCCTGCCCAGATTGGACAGTTATGACGGCCTCGTTGCAGTCCGTCCTTAAGTTACCTGCTCTTTTGCTGGGTTCTGAAGCCCAGGTAAGAGCGCAGAAGCAGCCTTTGGCCCGTGGGACATCTTCCCTATTGGCACTTCCTCCTCGCTACACCTCTTTAATGGCAGAGACTGACGGGTGAATATTTAAGACTTTTATTGTAAATGGAAATCGAAAGACTCGTGAGAAAATGCATAGCAAAACAAAAAACTTTCCTAGGGTTTTAGCAAACTTGACCTCTGAGCATGCTTTGGTTGAAGGCTTCCCGGTAACTTTTTAGAAAAAGGAGCCATAGAGAAAATGAAGGTGGATTGTTACTGGATTCTGGAAATGAACCTTGAAAACGCTAAGAGAAGTACAAGGGCTTAGGAAAGGGATGACACCTACAGTGTCAGAGCTAGACAGAATCTTCAATGACCATCTATTCAGTCCTTTTACATTATAAATGAAGCAACAAGCCCAGAGAGTATTCAGTATCAGAGACAGAATGCATGAAAGAACAGCTTCAGGGCCAATAAGAGCGGGAATATGCCATCGTACTTACCAAATTCAGTCCTCCCTTGATATCCACAGGGGATTAGTTCCGGGACCCCTGAAGATACCAAAATCCAGGAATGTTCAGGTCCCTGATATTAAACGGCATGGTATTTGCATGTAACCCAGGCACATCCTCCAGCATACTTTAAATCATCTCGAGATTATGTGTAATACCTAAAACAATGTAAATGCTATTTAACTAGTTGTTATACTGTATTGTTTGGGAAATAAGAAAAAGGTCTGTATGGGTTCAGTATAGACACATCCAACCTAGCCCTAACTACATTTTGTTCTGGTTGAATGCATGGATGCGGAACTAGGGATATGAGGCCAACTGTACCTAATTAAAGAGGTTCTGTTTCATACATATTTGCTTACAATTATGAAAAAAGTTTTAAAACCATGGGAAAACAAAAGACTTATAAACTTTATATACACTCTGCTGTCAAATTAACAAATGTTAACATACTGTCATACTTTTCTCAAATTGTAAAAGTAAACACAATGTCTCAATAGGAACCCCCTTGACCTTCTCCATGCCTTTCCCCAGGCCTTCATCCCTAGAGTCATGGGTTCATCAAGTTAGTGTCATCTTTGCTATTCTTGCTTTTTATTTTAATTCATTCATTTATAGCCATAAACAATACATAACATTGGCTTTTGTGTTTTCAAGATTTACAAAGATGGTGCCATATTTTACATGTTATTTTTCCACTGGCATTTTTGTTTTCAGCATGTATGATATAGATATATGCAGATATGTTTTTTTCATTTTATCTAACACAATTAAGTATGGCTGACTTAACTGTTACCTACTGAGAGATATTAAGGTTGTTTCTCATTTTACTCTCTTCCAGAGCATAAAAGTGACAGTTTCTCTAGATGTAGAAGTATTAGGTAGTAGGGCGTGAACACTTTCAACCTGATTATTATTATTTTTTTTTGAGATGAAGTTTCACTCTTGTTGCCCAGGCTGGAGTGCAATGGTGTGACCTTGGTTCACTGCAACCTACACCTCCCATGTTTAAGTGATTCTCCTGCCTCAGCCTCAAAAGTGGCTGAGATTACAGGTGTCTGCTACCATGTCTGGCTAATTTTTAGTATTTTTGGTAGAGATAAGGTTTCACTATGTTGGCCAGGCTGGTCTTGAACTCTCATCTCAGGTGGTCCAGCAGCCTCGGCCTCCCAAAATGCTGGGATTACAGGTGTGAGCCACTGCACCTGGTCTTCATTAAATATTTTTAAATTGCTTTGTTAATTGATGATATGAACTTCACTTCTACCAACAGAGGTGGAATTCTTGTTTTTCTACATTGTCTGCAACATCAGGACTTACTTAATCTACTTTTTTTTAATGTTAAAAATAAACTACAATTTATTTAATTAAGCATAAAGTTACTTTCCCATTTGTCTACAACCACAGTACTGGTGGAGGAAACATCATCCTACGGTCCTGTTCCCACCGAGGTGACAGGAACCCAATGTCAGAAGGAGCCCTGTGAAGATCTGGTAACCTACCACAGGTTGAGTCTCCTGTTTCATTGCTACTCTGACGATGCAGAGGATTCCCTGGGCCTCTTGAGCCTCTTTCTTTACCGCCGGGAAGCAAAGGTGAGAGTTTGAGTGGACCCTCCAACAAAGTTGGAGGACAGAGAAAAGCTCTCGTTTCACATGAAGTTTCACCCATTGGTGAGGGATCATACAGGGAATGTTCTCTGCCAAATGCCCTATTTGGAACATCAAATGCATCAGGATCTCTTGCTAAGAGTTTAAATTTAAACTCTATTTCAGTTAATTTTTGTCTGCTGTGAGCATTTTCTTTCCTTAAATCATTGAGGTTTCCTTCAGCAGTCCGACCTGCCAACTGATTACGATGTGCTTTTTTCTCATAGGCAATAGTCCACCGTTGATAGTAGTGAATAGTTCTCTTGAGTTCCTCTTCGAGATCTTTGGCTCGCTTTCTATAGGTCTCCACCTCCTCGGTGGCATGGACGATCTTTTTGTCTACTTTAGAAAGTTTCTCTTCTTTCTCTAACTGGCTGTTTTCCTGTAGTGTTAATTTCCTATAGAGCCTCATTTCATTTTCTTGATAGAACTGAGTCATTATTTTAAGTTTCTGTTGAAGCTTCCGATCCTCACTTTCTAAATGTGTGTTTTCTGACTGCAAAGATGCTTGTTGAGTCTGAAGATTTTTAATACACTGTGTAAGCTCTTCCTTTGTTTTTTCACCTTCAGATAACTGAAAATCAATTTGGTTTTTTTCTCCTTCCAAGATTTTTAAAGAAGTATTTAACTTAGCAGCATGAATCAGTTTCTTCAAAGCTCCTTTTGGAGGATGATCTAAGTAAGCACCATCTTCTGATTCGGTGTTCATTGCCAATTTCAAGTTCTCATCTTTCATTATGTCTTCTCCAAGCACAGCAGCCCAGTCTTTCATCTTCAGCAAGCGTTCAGTCAGAATCTCGATGTGATTGTCTTTATCATTTAGAACTTGCTCTGCGTGTACTCTGGAATCTTCCAATGTTATTTTCTGTTTATTAAGTTCACTCACTTGTTCTTTCCATACTTCAGCTTCTTGCAAAAGCTGTTTCTGGCTTTCCTGAAGTTGAGAATGTTCATTCAAGGCATCTTTTATTGCTATCTTCAGTCGTTCTTCATTCATTTGAGATATCTTCAAGATGATTTTGGCTTCAGCTACTTGCGATTTGAGGGATTTTGACTCATCTTCTAGAGACTGTATAGTTTTGGAAATATCTGCCATCAGTTGCTTTTGTTCAGAATGTTTTGATTTCTGTTCTTTTAACTATTTTTCGAGACCAAGTATCTCATCCTCAAGTTCATCATTGGACCTGTTCAGCTTTTCACATGTTGCCTCCAAACTTCGTGCCTCTGCTGCCTCCTCCTCAAAGCTGGCCTCCTTTAAAGATGACTCTATTTCACAGCTTTCATGCTCTTTTTTTTTTTTTTTTTTTTTTTTAATTTTTTATTGGATTATAGGTTTTGGGGTACATGAGCAGAGCATGCAAGACAGTTGCGTAGGTACACACATGGCAGTGTGCTTTGCTTTTCTTCTCCCCTTCACCCACATTTGGCATTTCTCCCCAGGCTATCCCTCCCCACCTCCCCCTCCCACTGGCCCTCCCCTTTTCCCCCCAATAGACCCCAATGTTTAGTACTCCCCTTTCTGTGTCCATGTGTTCTCATTTTTCATCACCCACCTATGAGTGAGAATATGCGGTGTTTCATTTTCTTTTTAAAGAGGGTAAGGTTTTCAAGTAGTTTACATTTTTTTGTCAATTAGTTCAGAAAGCACACCGGCAAGCTTTTTCTCTCTTCTCACATAAAGCCAACTTCTAATCGATCTCAAACTTCTCCACAAAAAAATGGGAACAGCAAAAAATCCAACAATAGCTGCCCATATCACGAATTCCCATGGAAACCCGTAAGAATTAGAATTTGCTGTCATATTTTGAGGCAGTGCTGCCACAACCCTGCGTAACTCCACCAGGACCAACCCCATGTAGGGCTGAGAGGTAGACCTGGGCTCCCGCACACTGCTAAGGCTGCTCTGGCGGTTGCCACAGTAACTGGGGCAACAATAAGCAGAGGAGAACATGCAGCCTTCCATTTAGAACCCAAATACACGGGAGCAGACCATTGCAGAGCTGGCTGTGGGGGGAGCTAGGGGCACACATAGGCCTCACAGGCCCATGCTACCCACCTGCCCCCTTGTTATGCTTTATGTTCTGAGGCAGCACTAAAACCTGTATTTTATTTTTATTGCATTTTAGGTTTTGAGGTACATGTGAAGAACATGCAAGATAGTTGCATAGGTACACACGTGGCAGTGTGATTTGCTGCCTTCCTCCCCTTCACCTATATCTGGCATTTCACCCCATGCTATCTCTCCCCCTCCCCAACTCCCCACCCCCCACTGTCCCTCCCCTATTCCCCCCAACAGACCCCAGTGTGTAGTGCTCCCCTCCCTGTGTCCATGTGTTCTCATTGTTCAACACCCGCCTATGAGTGAGAACATGCAGTATTTCATTTTCTGTTCCTGTGTCAGTTTGCTGAGAATGAAGTTCTCCAGGTTCATCCATGTCCCTACAAAGGACACGAACTCATTGTTTTTCATTGCTGCATAATATTCCATGGTGTATATGCGCCACATTTTCCCAGTCCAGTCTATCATCGATGGGCATTTGGTTTGATTCCAGGTCTTTGCTATTGTAAGCAGTGCTGCAATGAACATTCGTGTGCATGTGTCCTTATAGTAGAACGATCTATTGTTCTTTGGATATATACCCAGTAATGAGAATGCTGGGTAAAATGGAATTTCTATTTCTATGTCCTTGAGGAATCACCACACTGTCTTCCACAATGGTTGAAGAACTAATTTACACTGCCACCAACAGTGTAAAAGTGTTCCTATTTCTCCACATCCTCTCCAGCATCTGTTGTCTCCAGATTTTTTAATGATTGCCATTCTAACTGGCATGAGATGGTATCTCAATGTAGTTTTGATTTGCATTTCTCTAGTGACCAGTGATGATGAGCATTTTTTCATATATTTGTTGGCCTCATGAATGTCTTCTTTTGTAAAGTGTCTGTTCATATCCTTTGCCCACTTTTGAGTGGGCTTGTTTGTTTTGTTCTTGTAAATCTGTTTGAGTTCTTTGTAAATTCTGGATATCAGCCCTTTGTCAGATGGGTAAACTGCAAAAATTTTTTCCCATTCTGTTGGTTGCCGATTGACTCTAGTGACTGTTTCTTTTGCCATGCAGAAGCTGTGGAGTTTGATTAGGTCCCATTTGTCTATTTTGGATTTTGTTGCCAATGCTTTTGGTGTTTTGGTCATGAAGTCCTTGCCCACTCCTATGTCCTGAATGGTTTTGCCTAGATTTTCTTCTAGGGTTTTTATGGTGTCAGGTCTTATGTTTAAGTCTTCAATCCATCTGGAGTTAATTTTAGTGTAAGGTGTCAGGAAGGGGTCCAGTTTTTGCTTTCTGCACATAGCTAGCCAGTTTTCCCAACACCACTTATTAAACAGGAAATCCTTTCCCCATTGCTTGTTTTTGTCAGGTTTATCAAAGATTGTATGGTTGTAGATATGTTGTATTGCCTCTGATGCCTCTGTTTTGTTCCATTGGTCTATATCTCTGTTTTGGTTCCAGTACCATGCTGTTTTAATTACTGTAGCCTTGTAGTATAGTTTGAAGTCCGGTAGTGTGATGCCTCCTGCTATGTTCTGTTTACTTAGAATTGACTTGGCTATGCGGGCTCTCTTTTGGTTCCATATGAAGTTTAAGGTGGTTATTTTCAGTTCTGTGAAGAAGGTCATTGGTAGCTTGATGGGGATAGCATTGAATCTGTAAATTACTTTGGGCAGTATGGCCATTTTCACGATATTGATTCTTCCTAACCATGAACATGGAATATTTCTCCATCTGTTTGTGTCCTCTCCTATTTCGTTGAACAGTGGTTTGTAGTTCTCCTTGAAGAGGTCCTTTACGTTCCTTGTTAGTTGTATTCCTAGGTATTTTATTCTTTTTGTAGCAATTGTGAATGGCAGTTCATTCTTGATTTGGCTCTCTTTAAGTCTGTTATTGGTGTAGAGGAATGCTTGTGATTTTTGCACATTGATTTTGTATCCTGAGACTTTGCTGAAGTTGCTTATCAGTTTCAGGAGATTTTGGGCTGGGACTATGGGGTCTTCGAGATATATTACCACATTGTCTGCAAAAAGAGACAATTTGGCTTCCTCCTTTCCTATTTGAATACCCTTTATTTCTTTTTTTTGCCTGATTGCTCTGGCTAGAGCTTCCAATACTATATTGAATAGGAGTGGTGAGAGAGGGCATCCTTGTCTAGTGCCAGATTTCAAAGGGAATGCTTCCAGTTTTTGCCCATTCAGTATGATATTGGCTGTTGGTTTGTCGTAAATAGCTTTTATTATTTTGAGATATGTTCCATTGATACTGAGTTTATTGAAGGTTTTTAGCATAAAGGGCTGTTGAAGTTTGTCAAAGACCTTCTCTGCATCAATTGAGATAATCATGTGGCTTTTGTTTTTGGTTCTGTTTATGTGGTGAATTACGTTTATAGACTTGCATATGTTAAACTAGCCTTGCATCCCCAGGATGAATCCTACTTGATCATGATGGATAAGTTTTTTGATGTGCTGTTGCAATTGGCTTGCCAGTATTTTATTGAAGATTTTTGCATCTATGTTCATCATAGATATTGGGCTGAAGTTTTCTTTTCTTTCTGAGTCTCTGCCGGGTTTTGGTATCAGGATGATGTTGGTCTCATAAAATGATTTGGGAAGGATTCTCTCTTTTTGGATTATTTGGAATAGTTTCAGGAGGAATGGTAACAGTTCCTCTTTGTGTGTCTGGTAGAATTCGGCTGTGAACCCATCTGGACCTGGGCTTTTTTTGTGTGGTAGGCTCTTAATTGCTGCCTCAACTTTAGATCTTGTTATTGGTCTATTCATGGTTTTGACTTCTTCCTGGTTTAGGCTTGGGAGGACACAAGTGTTTAGGAATTTATCCATTTCTTCCAGGTTTACTAGTTTATGTGCATAGAGTTGTTTGTAATATTCTCTGATGATGGTTTGAATTTCTGTGGGATCTTGGTGATTTCCCCTTTATTGTTTTTTATTGCATCTATTTGGTTATTCTCTCTCTTTTTTTTTTATTAATCTGGCTTGTGGTCTGTCTATTTTGTTGATCTTTTCGAAAAACCAGCTCCTGGATTTATTGATATTTTGAAGGGTTTTTTTATGTCTCTATCTCCTTCAGTTCTGCTATGATCTTAGTTATTTCTTGTCTTTTGCTATGTTCTGAGTTTTTTTGATCTTGCTCCCCTAGCTCTTTCAATTTTGATGATAGGATGTCAATTTTGGATCTCTCTACTCTTCTCATGTGGGCACTTATTGCTATATATTTTCCTCTAGAGACTGCTTTAAATGTGTCCCAGAGATTCTGGTATGTTCTGTCTTCATTCTCGTTGGTTTTGAAGAACTTCTTTATTTCTGCCTTCATTTCATTGTTTATCCAGTCAACATTCAAAAGCCAGTTGTTCAGTTTCCATGAAGCTGCGCGATTCTAAGTTAGTTTCTGAATTCTGAGTTCTAACTTGATTGCACTGTGGTCTGAGAGACTGTTTGTTATGATTTCCATTCTTTTGCATTTGCTGAGGAGTGATTTACTTCCAATTACATGGTCAATTTTAGAGTAGGTTTGATGTGGTGCTGAGAAGAATGTATATTCTGTGGATTAGGGGTGGAGAGTTCTGTAAATGTCTATCAGGTTTGCTTGTTCCAGGTCTGATTTCAAGTCCTGGATATCCTTGTTAATTTTCTGTCTATTTGATATGTCTAATATTGACAGTGGAGTATTAAAGTCTCCCACTATTATTGTGTGGGAGTCTAAGTCTCTTTGTAAGTCATTAAGAACTTGCCTTATGTATCTGGGCGCTCCTGTATTGGGTCCATATATGTTTAGGATCGTTAGCTCTTCTTGTTGTATCGATCCTTTTACCATTATGTAATGGCCTTCTTTGTCTCTTTTGATCTTTGTTGCTTTAAAGTCTATTTTATCAGAGATGAGAATTGCAACTCCTGCTTTTTTTTTTTTGCTCTCCATTTGCTTGGTAAATCTTCCTCCATCCCTTCATTTTGAGCCTTTGTGTATCCTTGGATGTGAGATGGGTTTCCTGGATACAGCACACTGATAGGTTTTGACTTTTTATCCAATTTGCTAGTCTGTGTCTTTTGATTGGTGCATTTAGCCCATTTACATTCAGGGTTAATATTGTTATGTGTAATTTTGATACTGCCATTTTGATGCTAGCTGTCTGTTTTCCCCATTAGTTGATGCAGATTCTTCATTTAGTTGATGCTCTTTACCATTTGGTATGTTTTTGGAATGGCTGGTACTGGTTGTTCCTTTCTATGTGTTGTGACTCTTTCGCGAGCTCTTGTAAAGCAGGCCTCGTGGTGACAAAATCTCTGAGCACTTGCTTGTTCGCAAAGGATTTTATTTTTCCTTCACTTATGAAGCTCAGTTTGGCTGGATATGAAATTCTTGGTTGAAAGTTCATTTCTTTAAGGATGTTGAATATTGGCCCCCACTCTCTTCTGGCCTGTAGGCTTTCTGCTGAGAGATCTGCTGTGAGTCTGATGGGCTTCCCTTTGTGGGTGACCTGATCTTTCTCTCTGGCTGCCCTTAGCATTTTCTCCTGATTTTCAACCCTGGTGAATCTGATGATTACGTGCCTTGGGGTTGCTCTTCTTGCGGAATATCTTTGTGGTGTTTTCTGTATTTCCTAGACTTAAATATTGGCCTGCCTTGCTAGGGTGGGGAAGTTTTACTGGATAATATCCTGAAGAGTATTTTCCAGCTTGGATTCATTCTCTTCGTCACATTCAGGTACACCTATTAAACGTAGATTAGGTCTCTTCATATACTCCCACATTTCTTGGAGACTTTGTTCATTCCTTTTTGCATTTTTTTCTCTAGTCTTGCCTTCTCATTTTATTTTATTGAGTTTGTCTTCGACCTCTGATATCCTTTCTTCTGCTTGGTCAATTCAGCTGTTGAAACTTGTGCATGCTTCGTGAAGTTCTCGTGCTGTGTTTTTCAGCTCCTTCAATTCACTCATATTCCTTTCTAAGTTGTCCATTCATGTTACCATTTCATCAAATCTTTTTTCAAGGTTCTTAGTTTCTTTGCATTGAGTTAGAACATGTTCTTTTAGCTCACAGAAGTTTCTCATTATCCACCTTCTGAAGTCTGATTCTGTCATTTCATCACACTCATTCTCCATCCAGCTTTGTTCCTTTGCTGGTGAGGAGTTGTGATCCCTTGTAGGAGGAGAGGTGTTCTGGTTCTGGGTGTTTTCCTCCTTTTTGCACTGGTTTCTTCCCATCTTTGTGGTTTTATCCACCTGTCACCTGTGTAGTTGCTGATTTTCAGATTGGGTCTCTGAGTGGACGTCCAGATCGTTGATGATGAAGTTATTTCTGTTTCTTAGTTTTCCTTCTAACAGTCTGGCCTCTCTGCTGTAGGACTGCTGAGGATCCCCTGCTTGCCTGGGGATCACCTGCAGCAGCTGCAAAACAGTAAGGGTTGTTAGCAGTTTCTTCTTCTGCTCTTTGTCCCAGAATGATGCCTGCCAAATGTCAGTCTGATCAGTCCTTTGTGAGGTGACTCTTTGGATATACGGGGGTCAAGGAGCTGCTTGAGGAGATAGTCTGTTCTTTATAGGAGCTCGAATGGTGAGCTGTGAGCTCTGTTGTTCCTTTAGAGCTGTAAGGCAGGTACGTTTAGATCTGCTGCAGCAGAACTCATCATCCCCCCTTTTTTTCCCCAGGTGCTCTGTCCTGGGGCATTAGGGCTTTATTTATGAGTATTTGTTATGCTGCTGCCTTTTTTTTCAGGGCTGCCCTGCCCAGCAAGGAGGCAGCCTAGTCACTGTCTGCCTGCAGAGGCTTTGCTGAGCTGCTGTGGGCTCTGCTCTGCTGCTGTGTGAACTTCCCTTCAGTCCTGTTTATATGGGCATTGTTAGAACTGCCTTGGCAATGGTGGCTCACCTTTGTAATTGCGGACTCTCTGTTATGGTGAGTTGCCTCAGCAATGGCAGGCTGCCTCAGCAATGGCAGACTACCTCCATAGGGTCAGAGTGCCTTGGTAATGGTGGACACCCCTCCCCCACAGAGCTGGGCTGTCCCAGGTTCAGCTGTGCTTGCCGCGAAACTCTCAACCCCGAGCATTTCCAATTGCCATTTTTTTTTTGTGGGGGTGGGACCTGCTGAGCCTGATCACCTGGCTCCCTGCCTCAGAGCCTTTTTTTTTTAAGTTGAATGGTTGACTCCCTCCCAAATGTTCTAGTCGCCTGCTGAAAGGGCGCCAGGATCTGTTTGACTTCCCGTGTGGCAACCCACTGTGCTGGCTGAAACAACAGCACTGCCTGGGAATCTCCTGGCCTGGCTCACTGTTTCAGACCCCTGTTTAATCAGATGAATGGGTGAATCTGCATTCTTGGAGCTCCAATTGCTAGCTTAAAAGGGCAACCAGACCAGTGTATTTTGTACTGAGAACCGCCGCACCATGGCACTGGTAAAACAGCTGCACCAGCTGAAACAGCTGCACTGGCCAAAACAGCCACACTAGCGACCCATGGGGCTCCTCTGCCTGGGAATCTCCTGGTCTGTGGGCAATAAAGATCCATCTGGAAATGCAGCATCCACTCACCCTCTGTGCTTTCACTGGGAGCTGCAATCCTGAGCTGCTCCTAAAAGGCCATCTTGGATCTTCCTCACTTAATCTATTTTTTAAATTTCATTGTTCTGCTGAATTTTTAGGTGGTGTATAATTAGTGTATAAATTTGCAGTGTCCTAATTTACATTGAGGTGGAAGATACTTTATATAGTAATTAAATATTTGCATTGTTCTTTTTGTGAATTTCATTTTATTTGCCCATTTGATTTGGGTTGTGAATTTTTTCTATTGATTTGTAAGCATGATTTATATATTTGGGGTGGCAACCCTGTTTCAGTTATATGGTTTGTACATGTATTCTCCCAGCTTCTCACTGTTAAAATGGTTTTTCTTATTAATTCTGTGAAGTTACAATTTTAATATTAGTAATCTTAATCCTAATAGATTTGCACTGAGAAGGAAAAATTATAACCCTATTTTACTCAAAAATGTATGTATGCAAAAATTCCAGGAAAAATGTTAGCAAATTGAATCTATCTGTTCATGAAAGAGTTAAGAAATCATAACCAAGTTGAATATAGGCCAACTATGAAAGAATGGCTTAATTAACAATAAATTTTATAAATATAATTTTCAACATTAATAAGTAAGAAAAAAACATGTTATTTCACTAGATTTGGGAAAAGACACTTGATAATATTGAATTCTTGATTTAAAAAAAAAACTCTTTGTAAATCAAAAATATAATACAACTTCCTATAGTGATAAACTATAGCAAAGTATTTTCATTATGGGGAAATTTTGTAAGTATTTCCATTTAATCAGAAGTGAAAAAAATTAATGATTGTGACTTTTATTTAACTTGATATTGGCTTTCCTTGTTTAAAGCAGTAAGAAATAAAAGAGAAATCAGATATGAGAATTGGAAAGCTAAAAATAAAATTGTCATCATTTTCAGATGATACAATTTTTTTGTATAGAAAAATCCAAAATAATCTGAGAGAAAATAATTAGAAATAAGTAGAGAGTTTAGGGAGATGATTAGTATAAGATTAGACTAAGAATATATTAATTTCTACACAGCAACAGCAAACAACTAGATCTTATAATTAAAAAGTATATAATAGTATCAGAGAATATTTAATACTAAGGAATAAATCCAACCAAGGAGAAAAATGTACACAGTCTCTTCAGAGAAAAATATAACAATCAAAATATATTAAAGAAGGCCTAAATAAATTGGGAGGCATATCACATTTATGAATTAGAAAAAATATTCTAAAGATATCAAATCTAACCAAGTTGATCTATTGATTAATACAATTAATTTTCCCACCACATTGACCACGAATCTCTGTCAAACTTTCCTTTTTTTAATTACAAAAGAAAAATGTTTTTTTCAAAGTAGAAAATAAAAAGGAGAAATTTTAAATGTTCGGGTATTTCCACTCTCAGTTATAACCTTATTTTAAATATTTTTTTCAATATATTAGGTTGGTACAAAAGTAATTGCAGTTTTTGCCATTAAAGACAAAGCCTAATATTTGCATTAGCCTAATGTTATATGTGTCTCTGTATGTATGTGTTGTTGTGTGTGTGTGTGTGTGTGTGTATAGGCTCTGTGGTGGTCTTAAAATATGTCCACAAATTTTCTGACACTCCTCTCTTCAAGAAGTGGAGCTTAACTCCCTTTCCTTTGAGTGCAGGTAGTATTTAGTGACCTACTTTCAATGAACAGCATATGACAGAAGTGATGTGTGTACAATCTGATACTAAGTCATATTCATTGTGGATTCTGCCTTGTTCTCTTTCAGACAACTCACTTTGGGAGAAACCAACCGCTATGTCATGAGGAAATTCAAACTACCTATGGAGAGAGGCCCACGTGTTGAGGAAGTAGAGCCTCTTCCCAATACCACATGAGTGAGAAATACTAAAAGGGGATCCTCTAGCCCCAATCAAGTTTTCATATGACTGCAGCCCCTGCCAGCATCCTAACTGCAACCTCATAAAAGACCATAGCAACGGCCAGGTGTGGTGGCTTATGCCTGTAATGTCAGCATTTTGGGAGGCTGAGGCAGGCGGATCAGCTGAGGTAAGGAGTTCAAAATTAGCCTGGCCAACATGGCAAAACCCCGACTCTACTGAAAATACAAAAATTAGCCAGGTGCAGTGGCATATGCCTGTAGTCCCAGCTATTTGGGAGGCTGAGGCAGGATAATCACCTGAACCCAGGAGGCAGAGGTTGCAGTGAGCCAAGATAGTGCCACTGCACTCCAGCCTGGGTGACAGAGTGCGAGTCTGTCTCAAAATAAAAAAGACTCTAGCAAGGACCCCTTAACCAAACTGCTCCCACAGCTTTGGCCCACAAAAATGTGAGATAATAATTTATTTTTTTAGGTCACTAAATTTTGACATTGTTTGTTATTCATCAATAGATAACTGATATAGGCTCTTTCTATACATATTTTTTGATGAGTTTTTAAAAGAACTGTTTCTTAATTTCATAAGTATTATTTAATATAATTTCAAAATATTATATTCTCAATGAGAAAAGTCAACAAAAAAGAGACACATAAAATCACTAACAATTCTCCCACGCAGAGGTAAACGAAGTTATCATTTTAGAACCCTACAGTTTAGTCAGATTATACAGTATTTGGCTTGTTGAGGTATATATTCACATATGCAAAAATAGTTTTATTTAGTCTGTCTTAGCCCCAGGCAGAGGCTATGGAAACCTGACTTTCACAAATATAGAGAGCCTTAATTTGAGCTTTTTATCGAATTATATAATTGTGTAGATCATATGCTAAGTCTTTGTAGGATTATTATGTTTCATCATTATTTGGTTACAGTCTAGACGAGGTGACTTCCAAGGATACCTAGCTCTCTTAGAAATAATAAAAGAAGACTCTATCTTGGCAGAAATGCGAATTTAGAAGCCTCTCCCTGATGTCTAATCTGACTCCTTTCTAATATTAATTAAGGTTCAAATTTGGATGACACTAGAGATAATAACTTTCAATCCAGATCCCTGGGAAAGAGTTACTTTTTCCTCAACCTTAGAAATGAGTCTGTAAGAGGAGTACTTTTATGCATGTGTGTGAAAAACTGGATGCTTGATATTCTCCACAGTATTGGGTTATTGGCTTAATTGTTGTAACAAACAGAGCACTGATATGCAGAGTTTTGTACAAGATAGACCTTACTTTCTCTTTTTCAGTTTTCCAGATGTAGGAGTCCTCAGTCTTTGCTGGGAAGTCTTCTCGGATATGTTCAACTAAATAATCAAAACATATCATTTTTTTAGGATTAATCACCTTAAACATTTTTGTAAATATTTTTTGTGAATATTTTGTAAATGTTTTCTGTATTACGTACCTTACTATGAAATAATACCTTATTTGTGTGGTACCATATTATTATTATTGTGTAATTAAGGTACTTCCATGTTTTCCAATTGTAATCATTAGAATTCTGTAAGTTTGCTACAGTGACATTTCTGGATAGGAGTCATAGTGGATGGGGCGCCGCTAATAAATTTAGTGTAAGTAAGCCCTGGTTTGCCCAAGACAGTTCTCATTTAGGGTTCTTGTCCCAAGTAGCATTGCATTAATCCATTCTTGCATTGCTATAAAGAAATACCTGAGACTGGGTAATTTGTAAAGAAAAGAGGTTAATTGGCTCATGGTTCTGCAGGAGGTACAGGAAACATAATACTGGTATCTGCTTCTGGGGAGTCCTCTGGAAGCTTAAGATCACAGCAGAAGGCAAAGCAGGAGCAAGAGAGCCAAAGAATTGCTACACACTTTTAAATAAGCCGATCTCAAGGGAACTCGCTATGGTGAGAACAGTACCATGGGGAATGGTGCTAAACCATTCATGAGAAATCTGCCCCCATGATCCAGTTACCTCACACCAGGCACCATCTGCAACACTGGGGATTATATCTCAATATGAGATTTGGGTGGGGACACACATCCAAACTATATCAAGCATCTTTGTCATTCTCAGAAATGTCCCTGTTGGGCTGAGAGGTTACAATATCATGCTACAAAGGGACCTATGGGGCAATAATCTCACCTAGTATGTACATAACACTTCACAGTTATCTCCTGTGGAATCCAAGCTGAGAAAGGATGCAGATCGTAAAAACATGCATTTTGGGTTATTTAGTTAGTATAGTGTATTGGGAATGCAGGCACTGGAATCAGAAAAAAAAATGGGTCTGAATCAAAGTTCAAGAGAGATCTTGGCAAGTTGCTTCATTCTTTGAACCTTAAAGTACTTATCTGTAAAAAGAGAAAACTAAGTGTACCTCTCTCAAAGCAGTAGTTGTGGAAATTAAATGAGATAACTTTAAAAATTTTAGTTGACATATAATAATTGTACATATTTATGAGGTGCAGAGTGATATCTGATACATGTATAAAATGTGTAATGATCACATCAGGATAATTAGAATATCCATCACCTCATTGATGATTTATTTGTGTTACGAGCATTCAACATTTTCCCTTCTTTCTTTTTGAACATAGACAATAAACTGTTACCTATGACCACGCTGCAGCATGACAGAACACTGGAACTTATTTCTTCTATCTAGCTGTAACTTTGGAGATGATCTAGACTTCTCTTAGTTTCCTAAGGCTGCTGTAATAAAGCACCATGAACTGGGTGACTTAAAACAACTGAATTTTATTGTCTCACAGTCCTGAAGGCTAGAAGTCCCAAATCAAGGCACCAGCAGAGCCATGCTCCCTCTGAAACCTGCAAAGGAGAACCCTTCCTGCTTCTTGTGGTTGGCTTGTAGATGCAACACTACAATCCCCCATCTTCACACTGCATTTTCCCTGTGTCTCTACACACTGTTTCCTCTGTGCATGACTTAGCTGTGTCTGAGTTCAAATTACCCCCTCCGTTTTTTCAAAAATTAGGATACCTATTATATTAAATTAGGGCCCATCCTAATGGCCTCATCTTAACTTGACTATACCTGTACCTACATCTGTTTCCATAGAGGGTCATATTCTGAGGTAGCAGGGGTTAGGACATCAACATATCTTTTCAGGGAGACACAATTTAACCCATAATGCTATTTTTAAAGCATTTATTTGTTTGGCTTATAATAGTCTCTTATTGATGTTTTCTGCTCATATATTCAAACAGAAAAATACTTTGTTAGGTCAAAATCATATAAGGTAGAGGGAATTTTGGTCACTGCAAGAGAAACTGCTATTTGGCTTTAAATATTTATTTTTCCTTCTTCCACCCTAAAAGAGACTCTTGACTGTGGCTACCTGGAAAGAGAACTGAAATGTACATTTTGAGTAGGGACACAAGCCTAACCATTTCAGGGAGGATATGTCAATACCTGATAAGGAGAATAAGATAAAAACATGTATTATTGGGATAAATAAAATAATAAGGAGAAACAAATGTTTGGAACCAAATAAAGGTAGGTTCCGATTAGTTTTATTGTCATTTCTCATTACTTTTTATTTGTAATATTGTCTTTTATTACATACTTTCCTCCTTTTAACTTTGGGGGTACCGTGGGCCTGTTGCTAGACAAACAGTAGCAAAGGTGCTCGACTTGCAAAGATATAAAATACATTTTTGATATGTGAAGCACTATGAACGTTTCATGAGTTAAAGATAATATGTCATAATAAGTGGCTTCATTCTTATTAGTGGTCGATTTTTCTATATCAGCCATGTGAGAAAATGAAGTGAAAGCAAGAATGCAGCAAGGCATGTTTCCCCCTTGAATTCTCGGTATCTGTAACTTTTTTTTTTTTTTTTTTTTTTTTTTGAGACGGAGTTTCGCTCTTGTTACCCAGGCTGGAGTGCAGTGGCGCAATCTCGGCTCACTGCAACCTCCGCCCCCTGGGTTCAGGCAATTCTCCTGCCTCAGCCTCCCGAGTAGCTGGGACTACAGGCACGCGCCACCGTGCCCAGCTAATTTTTTGTAATTTTTAGTAGAGACGGGGTTTCACCATGTTGACCAGGATGGTCTCCATCTGTTGACCTCGTGATCCACCCGCCTCGGCCTCCCAAAGTGCTGGGATTACAGGCTTGAGCCACCACGCCCGGCCCGGTATCTCTAACTTTTAACAAAAATTTTTTACAAAAAACATTGTTTTAAATTTCAGTTGATTATTTTCCCTTTCCTTAGCTGTGTTCATTTCTCAGAGTGCTTGCATCTATTTCTTACTAACATAATATCCTAAGATATTTTCTAAAAAATATCAGTATGAATGAAGTGAACACTTGCCACAGGAGCCCAGCCTGACTTTTAAAAGAAATATGAAAATAGTGTGGATAAGAATGATATGAATCCATTTAGATTTGTTATAAATATTACTACCTTCTTCAACTCAATGTCCAAAAGGACCGTCATGTCCCTAAGGGCTAGAAAAGGAAGAACTCAGACAGCAGCCACGTTCCCATGACCTTGCTTTGCAGGGGCCTGACCCAGATGTGGTGGGAAGCACAAGACAGCAAATCTCTTACTGAATCTTTTTATGCATGGGCTTGGCCTGGACTTAAATGTCCCTGCTACAATGACTTTTAAAAATGATGATTAAATAATGTAAAACATATTGCAAATAAAATGTAAATTATCTAAAGGAAAGAAGCCACAGACTGAAAGATTGGAAATGTTTACAAGTTGCAAAATCCAAACTAAACCATATGAAGACAGCGTGGAGTGTGTGTGTGTGTGCACACGCTTGTGTGCCTGTTGTAAGAATCAGGTGATGTGTCCTACTGAAAAACCTGTACATTTTACCAATTGGTATCTTTTGAGGAAAATAAGAGCAATCTAACAGTTGAATGCACACATGCATATGTACACACACACACACTCACACTCACACAGACTTTAAATGCTTGAGAAGACTGAAAATAAACCACATACACTGTTGCCTTTAGCTTAAATAGCCAGTGGCTCTCAAGGCACTGTAACTCCTTTTAGACTCAGTTAGAGGGAAAAAACTATGTTTATTTTCATTTTTATATTTTTCTATGCCCTAGTTAGAAGAAATAAATCCTCTTAGAAATTTCCTTTGAAGTGATTTTCTATTCCACAGCAAACTCTTGAATTATTACTATTTCATGATTCATTGGTTGTAGGTTCTGTGTTGGTTCAAATTATCTCTAGTTACTTTTCTGGTAGCTACTAACTAGCATATTTTTTGTGGGATGTGTCAGCTGATAATATTCAAGGGAGGCAACTTAACTCCTTCAGTGATTTCAGCGATAATAAAAATATTCACAAGACACATGGTCTTTAGTAGTTAAAAGTTTCATAATGCATATGCACAATACCATGTTCTGGTCCTTCACGAAACAGGAAGTCTGGGTTCCAGAATTAATATTGTGAAGAGCTCATATCTTCTGGTGGTTCACTGGGTTACACAGTATCTCTGGAGAATGGGATTTGGGGCCCAGAAAATGGTGCAAACATTTAAAAACTTTTTCATCATGTCACCAGGTAGCCCAAATAGATCTGTCTCAGATGGAAATCTAGGAATTTATTTTTCTTTCTTTGCTAGTCTCCTTTTTCACCCCTTCCCTCCACCAACTTCCTTAATCTATCTTTTCTTCCTCTTTCTTCCCAGAGACTGGATTCCATTTTGGATGGAGTGGTGTTGAGTCTTTACTATTTCACGTCAGATTTAGGTCCTTATCATCGTGCTCAATGGAACAAGGAAAGGCTGATGCTTCTTAACACTATTAACTGCTACTTATGCCTTAACATCTGCACAATTTCTATTTGCTCTTTTTAAAACTCTTTCCTCACCATTTTAATTTGTAGCATCTCCCCCTCCCACATACATCCTTCAAAGGAAGGAGCACCAGGATCTGCAGTTTTATGAAATTGGTTGAGATGGCGGAAGCATCAAGATTTTCTTTTTTAGGCAATCTGATTGGAACCAGAAGGGTGGCGGTGATTGGTGGCGTTACTTGTTTGTCTGGAAGTTGCACTGGCATAGCAAACATGGTGTAATTAAGACACAACTTTATTTTTCTCCCTCGCTTTTCCCTTTAAAATTTATTCAGTGTGGAAATGTTTTACGGCTACTAAATGACATTTCCAACAGCCCCCCCATAACGGCTAGGCAATACAGTCAAAGGGTCTCAATTTAGTAATTAAAGCTTTGCACCGAAGCAGATGGGAACCTGTGGTCTAGCAGGGTAGTGGGAGGACTGGTTGGCTTTGCCTTTCTTCCTTGACCCCTCTGCCCTCCTCGTTTTTGCCAAACTCAGATTTTGGCAGCTCTAGCATTTGAAGTCTGGGAAAAGCCTCTCTTTCAAGCTCATACATGATTGGTATTATTGTAAGCAGGCTTCTTAAAAGATGAAAGTGTTCTCTTTCTCTTGTGAATTGATTTCATGGGTTCCGAAAATCCCTCTGACTTCCCTGGTGGTTTCTCAACTCAAATTCCTGTCATTACCTCAAAGGTTGTTTAATCTCTCCAAAGCTCCTGGAAATCTTTGGAAAACTGAAGCACTGCATATTTTTATTTATTTATTTATTTTTGAGATGGAGTCTCATTCTGTTTCTCAGGCTGGAGTGCAATGGCATGATCTTGGCTCACTGCAACCTCTGCCTCCCAGGTTCAAGTGATTTTCCCGCCTCAGCCTCCTGAGTAGCTGGAATTACAGGCACCTGCCACCATGCCTGGATAATTTTTGTATTTTTGTAGAGATGGGGTTTCACCATGTTGGCCAAGTTGATCTTGAACTCCTAACCTCCAGTGATTTGCCTGCCTCAGCCTCCCAGAGTGCTGGGATTACAGGCATGAGCCGCCGCGCCCAGCCAGCACTACACATTTTTTTTTTTTTTTAAGACGGAGTTTCGCTCTTGTTACCCAGGTTGGAGTGCAATGGCGCAAACTCGGCTCACCGCAACCTCCGCCTCCTGGGCTCAGGCAATTCTCCTGCCTCAGCCTCCTGAGTAGCTGGGATTACAGGCACGCGTCACCATGCCCAGCTAATTTTTTGTATTTTTAGTAGAGACGGGGTTTCACCATGTTGACATGGATGGTCTCAGTCTCTTGACCTTGTGATCCACCCGCCTCGGCCTCCCAAAGTGCTGGGATTACAGGCGTGAGCCACTGCGCCCGGCCCAGAGCCACCGCGCCCAGCCCAGAGCCACCGCGCCCGGCCCCACATTTTAAGTGTATGTTCTATGAGTTTTGAGAAAGATACATATGCATGTAACCATCTTGGTAATCAGGATATAGACTATTTCCACCACCCTCAAGGCATTCCCTTTTGCCCTTTGCAGTCTGTCAGTATTCTTCTACCCCTTATCTCAGACAACCACAAATCTACTTTTTACCATCATAGATTAGATTTTCCTGTTATAATTTTTTATGCTAATGAAATAATATAAGACATACTCATTTGTGTTTGGCTTTATTAATGTAGAATAATGATTCTGAGATTCATTTATATCAATCAGTGTTATCATTCGTTGATTTGTTTCATTGTTGGATGGTACCTCATTAAACTGATATACCATGATTTGCTCATCAATTTATGTATATGTTTTTGAGATGTTCCATTCTTCAGCTATGATGAATAAAGCTTCTGTGAACGTTCATGAACAAGTCTTTGTGTGACAATTGTTTTCTCTTGGTAATACTTAGGTGTTATTGGATAATATGGAAAACGTATGTTTAACTTTACAAAGTGTGGCGCCATCTCAATCTCCAACTAGCAATCTAAGAGTGTTCCAGCTGCTCCACATTTTCCCCAATATTTAATATTGACAATTTAAAAATATTAGACAATCTGGTGGATATATAATGATATCTCCTTTAGATTTCAATTTGCAATTCACTGATGATATACTGTTTAGCATCAGATCTTTTATAATGTACTTTTAAACTATTTTGCTAAAACATATACTCAGCATATGGAAGACTGTCAAGAAATATTTGTTGAACTTATATAATTGTTATGAAATTCTGAGCAAGTTATCAAATGAGAGCAATTAAGCTGATTTTCAAGTATTTAAAAGAAAGTGTACATTCTCTTATGTCTATCAGATATGACCCCCAGGCAATTTGCTCAAGGTCAAATATTGGTAAAACAATGATTAGAAACCATGTTTTATCATTCTTAATTTAATTCTCTTTATATTTAACTTAGGATAAATGTAAAACATTGATTTTTAATATCATTTTATTGAATTTATGTTTTATTCAATTACTGTTTTGCCATGGTATCTCTCCCTGTTCATTATCAAAAACTTCAGCTCATAATAAAAACCTAACCATTACCTAAAATTTATGTCCTTTCATAAAAATGTATTTCACGTTCCAGATACTTGGTTAATCACTAAACTTTTAGATAAGTGTTTATTTGGGGAAACTACCATATTAGGTAGCAACTTTGTTTCCCATTTTATTATTGTATCAACAATTAAGGGTTAACCAATTCAAAGGTGAATTACCTTAAATAAGAAGCAATGTATGTATTAGCTCTGAGGTCTATAATTGCACTTAGCTGTAACTCAAATGAGTTGTATGTGTGCTGTGTGCAACTAACTGACAGGCTGGGATGCTCCGTTGCTCAAGCCAGGGCTTTGGTATCGTTTAAATGCTTTGTTAAGATCAAATAGCCACTGAGAATCAATTCAATAAAAGTCCCACAGAAGCTCAGATAAAAACATTGCCTGAAGCAAAATTCTATTTAGGAGAGGAAACAGGAAATAAAGCATTATAATATGACTCTGATGTCAAAAACAGAAATTTCCTGAAAGCATCATTGATTTAACAATTTTGATTAATTTTTTAATCCAAACAACTGCTCCTCTGTAGTATTTTTTAAAAGAGAAAAAAAGGGGGAAAACGCCTTACTTGGCCCTTGGGACACATTTTAATAATTCATTTTTAACATGGCACACCACATTGACAACTCATTTTAAGTTTGAATTTTTCTTATTAAGGAATCATTTTGTATATGCTATTTTTTTCATTGAATTACAGTGTATGATAAGTAGTCTCTCAAATCACCAGATAGAATATGTGACAATCAGTTTAGTTTGTAGTCAGTGTTCATTATTCCTCTAAGTTTTTTTATTTTGGTAGTTTAATCATAGTTCTTAACAACTGCCTTGAAATTTAGAGATAAAAGTAATGTCTAATTTTGGTATCCTTAGTCACAAAAATAGCTGTGGAACAAACTGTAAACTAGGAAGATAGAAGGGTGAGTCTTCAGATGTCCTGTTTCATATTAGTCAAAGAAGATTTCTTAAAATGTTCCTGTTTCTCTCTGCATTGATTCAGGAATTGGTTGGGGGAAAAGGAAAGTAGAAAGAAATGCAACAGATGTAATCCCAGCACTTTGGGAGGCTGAGGCGGGTGGATCACGACGTCAAGAGAT